TGAACACAGAGAAAGATAGAGCTTGGAGATTCGGGGTTAACTGAACTGACTGACCCCCGCCCAGCTGGGGGGCTGTGTGAACTAGCTGGGGACAACATTCCTGCTTAGTTGAAGAGGAAGTGCTGTAGCTGGAAAGACTCTTCATTTTAATAAACTCTTTCGAGGAGACCAGCTTTTATATTCTCAGAGACTCCTGGTGAAGGCACCCTGAGTCTTTTACAGGAATTTTTTAATCTACACAATAACTCCACAACAGTGTATCGGATAGGACCTTCTGGAGGTTTGGAAAACCGGCTTCAGCAAGATATCGTTCTGTGCCCTGCCTTATGTGGTAGGCCTTTGAAAGACTACCTAGAAGGAATCAGCGAACCAGCCCACAGAAAGTTTCCCTTCTGGGGCTCTTGGATATCCTTCGTTCAGTATGGGGCGGTGGAAGATGGCCTCTAAAGACTAAGCTAAGACCCGAAATACAAGGTTATCATAGCTGTACATGCGCTATAGCCAAACTCCACTATTATCCTTTTCCAGCTGCACACAAATTGCCTAAATAAGGCAATTTTAATTTTAATGTAGTTTTTAGCCGTTTTATTACTGCTGTCTCTTTGGCAGCATTGTTTTATTATTATATTCTGACTAGGTTGCAGCATTTGTGAAACAGCGCTGGTCGCATGATTGAGGTGAAAACTACAGGCTTAGGACAATTGCCAAGATCTAAAAGCAGAGAACTCAAAATAGAGAAATATATTGAGGCTGTTGATGAGCACATCAGGAAGCTGTTGCAGAGAGCAGGTGGGAATATAGATTGATACCCCCACTTGCCCCCCAATCTAAGGCAGTCGCACCTGGGGTAAACTGCCCTCTCTCTATATCGAGACCACTTTTACCATGGTTTTTACTAGGAGAAAATACAAGGAGTTGGGTATACTGCCTGACTCGGCAATCAGCCCCTCGGGCCCTGGTAAAAGACAAAGCAAAATCACAAATTACTTTCCTAAGATGGAGGAGGGTAAGAGTCCACAAAAAGAGTTAATTCTTGATGAAGTAATACCCCCCTCTCTTACTGTTCTTGATTGGACATCTAATTTTAAAGAGATATACCAAGATACTGGAAATATTAACTCCCCATGCAGCCTAGCGCAAGAACTAGCTTTAGCCGAGGAACTTCAGGAGGGAAATACCTCTATTACTAAGGAACAGCTGCCCACGGAAGAAATTACATCAACCCATCAAAACCAGATACTTACTCCAAAATACTCTCAAACAGAATTGAGTGACGGTCGCCCTTTGGATTATTCCCTAGCAATAAGTTCTGATTTAGCCAACATAAAAAATTATCTAACAATAACAAATGGGCTACTGCTGACGTTAGTAGAAAATTTCACATCTCAATTAAAAGAGTTAAAATTAAATGATATGCCACAAGAACATAAAACAGTTGAGCTAGCGTCGATGAACAAACCAGTAATAAATAAGAATCTGCAAAGACATAACTCAAGGGTAAAAGTGAAGAAAAGTAAAAATATTAAAACAACAAGGATAGCCAAGCATACCCGCAGTAATCGAAACATACATTGGCAGAAATTGTTTAAACTTCTTCCCCCAGCCCCAAATAAATCGACCACACGGGGCAGCAAAAAGAAGGGTAAAAAGAGAGAAACAAAGGTAGTTACACAGCAACCGGCTAAGGAGGACTCGCTAAGGCTGACTCCAGTAGCAAATGAGAAGGCAGAAGTAACAACTCAGTCCTTGGATAACCAACTTTTAATAAACCTGATGCTGCGGAAGTAGAGGCCTCTTTCTATGAAGGCAATAAAACACTTAGTAAACCGAACAGCGGGGAAGAGGAAGCGTTTAGTAGAGATGATACCCCCCTTCAGACCTGGCAAGCCTCCAGTCAGAAAAGAGATTGGAATTTGATCCTAAATCCCCAAAAACTGGTATTCACGAACTTCCCGAAGCCTAAGGGCTTCCTTACAGGGAAACAGCGAATAATGAACTTTGTATCTAGTCTAAATGACATACTGCCAGGAATGGTTAATGCTAATGATATCACCTCGGTGGAATATTTACATTATGATGGTCACTCAGTGAGAGCACTGACCACTTTTAGGGATCAGAACCTGGCCAAGTATATTTTTAGGTCAAGACCTGCCTTTTTAAAAGCACGGACAATAATACTTAGGTTCTTTGAAAATAAGGCTCCTTTGAGCCCCTTTTGAAAACTAAGCAGGCAAATCTTAGAAAGGGGAAACAACTCTCAAAATCCTGGCCTGACAAACAGAACCCGCAATGCCTTGCAAGTAAAGGTGAGGATTTCTTTACTATGGAAGAAAATATCCTAATTGACCAATTCTGGATGTTCCCACCATTAATACAAACTGACATCTTGGGAAGACTAGATAAGCTAAGAGATAAGCTGGCTGAGAGAGCTTCAGGCAACGAGGTTATCAAGGGGGACCAAAAAAAGACCACAACACGTAACCTTCAGATCAAAGCGGAGATTAACTTTCCACCAAGAGAGAATGTGCCACCCTTCAAGGAGAGTACTCCATCACCCCCGAAAGAGAAATATCCCCAAGGTGACCCCACAAGACGTATGGGACAAAATGAGATACCTAGATGAAACAGAATTGGGCCAAAATCAGGCCAAAACAGACTATCCACAGAAGGAATTTATGCATAATAAAGAGCTGGTGTTCACAAACGTGAGCACTTTGCATCCACCTATTGAAATCATAGAGCGGCTGGATAGCCCGCCATTCAAAGACGATAGGCGTCCGATACATAAAGCGACAAACCCTAAAAGTACGTTAGCTAATAATTGACAAAGATTTGATTGTGATAAAGCCAATCTTAAATTTTTATCATGGAACATTGCTGGTTGGCTCAACAAGGCGACTGACCAATCATTTGTCAATTTTATTCAAGATCATGATATAGTCTTCTTGCAAGAGACATGGCTAACAGGGGATCTAGATGTAAATGGTTTTGCCTCATTTTCGCTCGCAGGCTCACCAAGCAACAAAGGGGGACGAGTTAAGGGTGGGCTAGGCATTTTAATATCCACAAGGCTGAGAGCATCTTTCGTCGAGCTGGAGCCTCTGAGCAGTGTGGCCATGGCATTATTGATGAAATGCAGATATTGCACACTTCTATTGATTAATATATATGCCCCTCCCCAAAGAGGCAAGCAGCTTATCAAAAATCTCTGGCATAGGATAGAATCTTATGTCGATGAGCTAATGAATCAAACTCCTGCTGCGGCAGTGCTGCTGGCTGGGGATTTAAATGCCAGAATTGGCCAATCAGACGAAGCGTTATATGCTCATTTTCACGACGTACCTCCCATTTCTGAAGAAGCCCATTCTATTCCCCCAAGGCTCTCAAAAGACAAGGGCTGCAATTACGCAGGCCTATGCCTTCTACGTTTTTCCAACAATCTGGATTTGACTGTATTAAATGGTCGTGTCGACAGAGAACCCAGTGGGGAATTTACATTTATATCCAACATGGGAGCCTCCACTATCGATTACGTCCTGGTGTCATCTAACCTTTTGAGCAGAGCACGGGAATGTAAAGTGGTGGAGAGGGTTGACAGCGACCATCTACCGTTCTGTTTAATACTGGATGTAAGAAAAGATTTATTTTGCTCTGATAAACTTGTAGCCCCATGCTTCGAAAACATGGAGCTAAGATACTCACGTATTAAATGGTCCAGCAAATTGAGTGATGAAATATCGGAAAGACTTCACTCAGATATTTTTCTTGCTAGAAAGGAGAACCTCGTTAATTCCCCAACTCCTGAGGCCAGATTAGACATGTTCCGGGAACTGATTTCGTCGCTACAACCTTATCTGACCAACAAAAACGCCACGGCAATCTCTACACTTTAATAAATCCAAACCTTGGTTTGACCAAGAATGCATGGCTATGAAACGCCTCCTGCTGGATAAGTACAGGAACTATAGAACAGCGAACTTACCTTCGCTTCCATTAGACTGGTTTGAGTCAAAACGCAGTTATAAAGCTTTGATTAGCAAGAAAAAGCTCCAGGCACAAAGGGAGGAATGGCAGTGCCTAGTGGAGGCCTCCCAAAGGAAAGATTCTGCCACGTTTTGGAAAATAATTGCAAAAAGCTGGAGAGACTCCCGATTGAAATCGAATACTCTATACCCGCTGGAGCATGGGAGGCCTATTTCCTCTCATTATATTCATCAAATCAACTGGCCCCAGCTCTGCTTCCTGCTTCAAGTGAATTTGGTAAGGAATGGCCCCTGTAACCATAGAAGAAATTACTGGACTTATTCAAGCTCTTAAATCAGGGAAAGCCCGGGTGCTGACAATATCCCACCAGAAATTCTTAAGGCAAATGTCGAATGGTGGGCCCCTGTGCTAGCCGCCTTGTTCACTAGTATAAATCAAGCGGCTATTATCCCCGAGGACTGGGGTTTAGCCATCATCATTCCAATATTTAAGAAAGGAAACAGAACTGAGCCAGCTAACTATAGACCAATCAGTCTATTAAGTATTATTAGCAAACTGTATGCTGCTCATTTATGTGATAAATTAGTGGAGTGGATGGAAAGAGAGCATATTCTATCAGAAGCTCAAGCCGGTTTTAGAGCAAAGCGTTCAACTATAGACCAGGCCCTTACCCTTCAACACCTGGCAGACAAATATTCTAGAAAAGGGGGGTCTTTATATGCAGCATTCGTGGATTTTAAATCGGCGTTTGATCTAATACCAAGGGATAGACTCTGGGAAAAGCTTGGCGCTACAAACATAGATAAACGCTTATTACGCCTTATCCGTGGTCTATACGAAAACACCAGGGTGAGGGTAAGATGCGATCGGTCAGGCCATCTAACTAAAGAAATTCAAACGCACTATGGGGTTAAACAAGGATGTGTCCTCGCGCCAACGCTATTTAATTTCTATATCAACTCTCTAGCAGTAAATATGGCGAAAGAAAATGCCCACCCTCCCAAACTGGCAGGTATTCCCATCCCGGTGCTTCTGTATGCGGACGACGCAGTCCTACTCTCCTTTTCCTGCATTGGCCTGAGGAAGCTTTTGAGATCACTTGCTGACTATTGTCAAGCGGAACAACTATCAATAAATTACAGCAAATCTAAAATTATGGTGTTTTCAAAAAAGAAGGAAACACAAATGGAGAATTAATGGTCAACCTATTGACCAGGTAGCAACTTTCAAATACCTGGGAATAACTTTTCAGGAAAGGGTCTCGTGGCATCAACAGATGAAAAACGCCATTGCCAACGCAGGAAGGGCTAATAAAGCCCTTACAAGATTTTTTCACGGGAAAGGGGGTAAATACGTTCCGGCGGCCTCCCAGGTTTTTGCTGCAAAAATACTCCCACAACTTACTTATGGATCCCAGGTTTGCAGTTTTAAAAATTTTGCGCCTATGGAGGCATTTCAAACAAAATTCTATCGGTGTTTATTGGGGATCCCCCCCTGTGTATCTAATATAGCTGTCCGCTTAGAAGTTGGACAACCACCCGTTAATGCGCGGCTGTGGATTCTAAAGATACACTACTGGTTAAAACTTATTTTTCCCCGGCCGGTTTGGCTCCTTTAACACTCTTAGACACCTTTCATTCCACCTGGAAAGCTTCCCTGTTTGAAAAGATAAGAAGCTTGGGATTCTCCCCGCAGATCTTGATAGCGGCAGGATATGAGAGAGCCAGAAGTCAAGTGCTCCAACGCATTAGGGACATAGAGCTGCAATGTCATATGGGCAAAATGGATAAACATGCCATAATTAGAGACTTTGGGAGAGGGTTCTCACCCGCAAATTATTTGGCTGATTTACAAATACCTAAGTACAGACACTCCTTTACCCTGGCCAGATTTAACGTTCTGCCCTCTGCCCTGCTGCTAGGCAGATATGAGGGCAAACCATATGAGTCACGTGTTTGCCCGTGTGGCTCATCGGAAGTGGAAACAAGTCTGCATGTATTGCTGCACTGTAGTTACTATGAGGATCTACGCTTGACCTTTATTGCCCCAGTTCTACAAAAGCTTAAAAATGAACCAGAACTCCAACGTATGAGAGCCTTGGTAGAAGATAAGGTTTCTGAAATTACGATCAATGTGGCCAAATTTTGTGTAGCCGCTATTAGGCGCAGGAAACAAGAGCTTTCCAATGTCATTACGCAGGCGAAGGCAAATACTTAATTTTTTATTTATGCTGTCTAATTTTAAATTGCAGTTATGTATTGAAATTGTCCTTTGTTTTTTCCGGTGTTATGCTTCGCTGACTAGCTGTACGAGTTAATCTGGTCTGTGACCGTTTAATAAATTTGATTTGATTTGATTTGATTTGACTAGAGCTGGTGCAAATGCAAGCTAAGAGATTTAGTTAAAGTTAAACCAAAAAAAGCTGCTTTTTGGCAGTATGCCCTTCAAAATGGCTGAAAATATAGTAAATATAGTTTCGATTTTAAAAAATACATTGCACACAGCTCAACAGCAGTATTCCATCGTGTTTATAAAGAAACAGGTGGAACAGAACATCTAAAACTTCAGTAGAGAATCTGTGGCCCTCCAGGTGTGGAATAATTGCAAGTGTGACCGTTGACTCTGCAACCTCCTCCTCCAAATCTAAAGCAATGGCTTGGATCAGAGAAACCTCTTCTTAGTATCAATAAAATTTACGAATAGGGTGGTCTGTGGCAGTAACGGCTAGGGTGGAATAGCTGAAAAAACAGGTGGGAGCACGTTTACTTCTCTTCCATGACTGCCAATGTTTCTTTCCTCAAGGAGCTTTCGAGTCTGTCACAATGTGCGAGAAGCTTCGTGCAACATTTTCAGCAGCAAATAATGATGCTAACCAGGGAATCCAGAAAATGTTTCCATCTTCCTCTGTTTAGGTTGCTGAGTTGCAGCACTTCAAACAGAAGTGCAGTGACAGATATGCTCATGGATGTCCACATGGGTATTTCAGGGAGAGGCTATGCCACAGCCATCTTTGGGACGTTGCAGGAACAATTGAGGCAGGCACCTTCTCTGGGATAGAGACAACAGAAGGCATTTGCCTGGCAATCCTGGCTGATGGTTCCTATCAGGTCTAGAAAAGGAACGTGCGTTGCGCTGTGGTCTAAACCACTGGGCCTCTTGGGCTTGCCAGTCAGAAGGTTGGCAGTTTGAATGCACATGAAGGGGTGAGCTGCTGTTGCTCTGTTCTACTGAAGAGGCTCCTCATGGGGCCAGAGGAACATCGCCCGGCTGTGAGGCATGAAGGCTGCTCCCCACAAGGCCCTTTCCACATGGCCTAGGGGGTGAGGCCCACACTCACCAGCCCTACTGAAGAGGTGAATTATTATTATTAATTAATTTATTATTATTATATCTACCCTGCCTATCTGGTTGGGTTTCCCCAGCCACTCTGAGTGGCTTCCAACAGAAGGTTAAAAATACATTAAAACATCAGTCATTAATAACTTTCCTAAAGAGGGCTGCCTTCATGATGCCGGAGGAATATCGCCCGGCCGTAAGTATGAAGGCCGCTCCCTGCAAGGCCCTGTCCTCTGGCATAGGGGGCAGGGCCCAGACTCACCCAGCCCTACTAAAGAGGCTAATAATAATAATAATAATAATAATAATAATTTATTATCTCTACACCGCCCATCTGGCTGGGTTTCCCCAGCCACTCTAAGCGGCTTCCAACAGAAGGTTAAAAATACATTAAAACATCAGTCATTAAAAACTTCCCTAAACAAGGCTGCCTTCATGAGGCCGGAGGAACATCGCCCGGCTGTGAGGCATGAAGGCCACTCCCTGCAAGGCTCTTTCCACCTGGTCTAGGGGGTGAGGCCCACCAGCCATACTGAAGAGGTGAATTATTATTATTATTATTATATGGACACAGTGATCCATGCGACGGTCACCTCCAGGCTTGACTACTGTAATTCGCTCTACGCGGGGCTGCCCTTGAAGCTGTCCCAGAAACTCCAGCGGGTGCAGAATGCTGCAGTGAGACTCCTCACGGGGTCTCTGCCATGGGAGCATATTCATCCAGTTCTTTTCCAGCTGCACTGACTCCCGGTGGAGTACAGGGTCAGATTTAAGGTGCTGCTTTTGACCTTTAAAGCCCTTCACGGCCTAGGACCCTCGTACCTACGGGACCGCCTCTCCCGGTATGCCCCACGGAGGACCTTAAGGTCCATATATAGCAACACCCTAGTGGTCCCAGGCCCTAAGGAAGTTAGATTGGCTTCAGCCAGAGTCAGGGCCTTTTCAACTCTGGCTCCGGCCTGGTGGAAAGCTCTGCCTCATGAGACCAGGGCCCTGCAGGATCTGATTTCTTTCCACAGGGCCTGTAAAACGGAGTTGTTCCACCTGGCCTTTGGCTCAGAATCAGTTTGATTCCCTCCCCCTCTTTCTTTTTGCTTTCTCCTCCCATGAAACGATTGTTCCCTAATTGTTTTAATGTTGTATCTTAATCTTTTAAATTGTATTTTAATCAACTTGTTTTTATTATTGGTTGTTAGGGAGGGCGGGTATAAATAAAATATTATTATTATTATTATTATTATTATTATTAATTATTATATCTACCCCGCCCATCTGGTTGGGTTTTTCCAGCCACTCTGAGTGGCTTCCAACAGAAGGTTAAAAATACACTGAAACATCAGTCATTAAAAACTTCCCTAAACAGGGCTGCCTTCATGAGGCCGGAGGAACATCGCCCAGCTGTGAGGCATGAAGGCCACTCCCTGCAAGGCCCTGTCCCCCTGGCCTAGGGGGTGAGGTCCAGACTCACCAGCCCTACAAAAGAGGCTCCTCATGAGGCCGGAGGAACATCGTCCGGCTGTTGTTTTATTGTTTTATTGATTTAATATGCTGTAAACCACGGGACGCGGGTGGCGCTGTGGGTAAAACCTCAGTGCCTAGGGGTTGCCGATCGCATGGTCGGCGGTTCGAATCCCCGTGGCGGGGTGAGCTCCCGTCGTTCGGTCCCAGCTCCTGCCCACCTAGCAGTTCGAAAGCACTCTTAAGTGCAAGTAGATAAATAGGTACCGTTTTATAGCGGGAAGGTAAACGGCGTTTCCGTGTGCTGCGCTGGTGCTGGCTCGCCAGCTGCAGCTTCGTCACGCTGGCCACGTGACCCAGAAGTGTCTTTGGACGGCGCCGGCTCACGGCCTCTAGAGCGAGATGAGCACGCAACCCTAGAGTCGGACACGACTGGCCCATATGGGCAGGGGTACCTTTACCTTTACCTAAACCACTTTGAGATTTTTATTAAAAATATAAAGCAGTATAGAAATTAAAAAAATAAATAAGGGTATCCACTATTATTTGCTCTTTCCATTGAACCCTTAACAGCACCAAAAAAACACAATGTAAATTTCTGGAGTGTTGATATACAAGGTTAAAGTCCAGATGATCACTTTGTTCTCAAATGAAATTGTGCTTTTATTGTCTAACCCAGAGGAAATGATGCCTGAAGTTTGGGGAGAATTAGACTAATGAAGCAAAATCTGATTTGCAACTTTGCTAGCTTCAACGTTTCCCTTTGATAACTAAAGCATTTGGGAACATGTAAGGCACTGAGGGATTTTACTTTCTTGGGCTCCATGATCACTGCAGATATGTAATCACCTGAAAGAATCAATTAGGCCTGGGATTAAATTGGGATTAAATATATAAATAAGAAAATGTACGAAAAGTTAGGAAATATGATTATGACTGTGATATGGTTTATGAAATAATGATATTGGAAACTGCTATATATAATTACTAAGAAATTCAGATGGAAGAGATTTGAAGAAGTCAAATAATATGTTTATGAAGATGGATCTTAATTAATTAATTAAGTTTTAGTCAAGTGATGATTTGTTGTATTGTATGTTTTATATTCTTTTTTACTTGTCTTTTTTTTCTTTTTTCGGTTTCACTCTTTTTCTTTTTTCAGTTTCACTCATTTTTTCTTTTTTGTTATGTTCATATATGGAAAATAATAAATATTATTGTGAAAAAAAGAAAAGAAGTTATTGTTTCTCCCGTAGCCACAACTGTGGATCTCAGCAGAAATCAAACATCATGCTCTGCCTCTGTGCCTTTCCAGCCTGCAGCTTTTCCTCTAGTTCACACCACAGTTCCCAAAACTTTAACTTTGTCTTTCTAGCTGGGGGAGGGGCCCCACCCATTTGCTGTCTCAGACAGAGCCCCTTCCCTTTCATTTCCTTTAATGGTTCATCACCCAGGTGATTACCTCATCAGGAAGCTGGTCTGGCTTCTAGTTTAACACTTATTGTATCCAGGAGTTCAGGAGTCTGGCACCCACAAACTCATATAACACTTTATTCGGATTCCAATGGATCTGTAAATAGATGGGTTGAGTGAATAATGCCAATCCCTGAGAGTGCATATTTTCCTTCCAGAAACAGATTGCAAGGGCAAGAAGGCAGGTGTTATGAGCAGGGTTTGAGTGTGTCAGCAGTTGGCAGACTGATCCCCAAAGCTCCCCTTGTGTGCGTGTACACACACACACACAGAGAACAGAATTCATCTCCCTTTCACTGGGCTTCTGTTTGCAGGTTGTCTTTGGAACGGGACAGAACTGGCCAGGATCTCTCCCCCACCCACGTACAGTCTGCAAGTGAAGGTGCCAGGAAGATGCTCATGACCAAGCTGCAGAATTTGCCCACTGTGGTCCTCTTCTGCTCTATTTTCCTTTTCCTACTTGTTGCGAAGAACAAATGGGAGTCTCTTGAGAAGCTTTTCTCATCGCACGACATCAAGGTCAAGGGCGGCCCAAATTCCGCAGGCGATCGTAAAAGTGCCACGGTATTTGAATGGGAATCTGCACTGGAGAGGACAAAGGAGACCAAGCCCTCTGGTCTGATTTCCCCACCACCACCAGTGGCCAAGCAGCATCCCTTGGAGGTTATCTATTCCACTGATTATAAGTTTCTTCTCAACGAGCCAAAGAAATGCCGGGAGAGGAGCCCTTTCTTGATCCTGCTGGTGATAACTGAGCCCCAGGATTTTGCCACGAGGCAGGCCATCCGGCAGACGTGGGGCAAAGAGAGCTCAGTGCCTGGGGTTTCCATTCTTCGTCTCTTTCTGACGGGTGTCCACCCAAAATTTGGATACCTGCTCCAGGACCTTTTGGAAGAGGAGAGTTCCATCCACAAAGATATTATTCAGCAGAACTTCCTGGATACCTACAACAACCTTACCCTGAAGACTCTGATGGGCATGGAGTGGATAAGCAAGTTCTGCCCCAATGCCACCTATGTGGTGAAGGCAGACAGTGACATCTTTCTCAATGTGAACTTCATGGTGTCCCAGCTGCTGCAGCCTCACCTGCCACCCAAGAAGAACTACATGACAGGTCACATCTATAGGAATGCAAAGCCTGTGCGTGAAAAGGCCCACAAGTGGTATGTGCCACAGGAGGTGTACCCCAATGAGACCTACCCGCCCTACTGCGCAGGCCCAGGGTATGTGTTCTCTGCGGATCTGGCCAAGAAGATCTACCAGGTAGCAAAGACCATCAGGGTCATTAACATGGAAGATGCCTTCATGGGAATCTGCCTCTATGAGCTGGGCATCAGCGTGACAAACAGCCCCTCGGGTCTCTTCAATGTGTACAAAGTGAAGTATGAGAAGTGCAAGTTCTCCAAGGTGGTGGTGGTGCATCACTACGGGCCAGAGGAGCTGCTGCAGATTTGGCCTGGCTTTCAGGACCAGAACCAGACTTGCAAGAGTTAAAAGTGAGGGAGGTGAACAGACACACAGCCTCTTGTGGAGAAGTTGGCATAGAGGACTGGCAACATGCGGGCATGTTCCTGTACAATGGACAAATCCATGCCAACAAATTGCAATGGGGAAAGGGAAGGATGGCTCAGAGAAGAAGGAAGATTCTGTGCTTGTCAAAATCAGTATTTATGCCCTCAGAGGCGAGCTGGCCCCACATAACATGCTCATCGTGCTGTGTGGTTCGTTGTCATTCATACGGCTCTCCTCCCCATAGAATCTCTGCAGCTGCCCAAAGCGACTTGTTTGGTCTGCTCTAAACTGACCACTGTGCTACTGATGTGCCAAATTGACAACCTCAGAGTTTTGAGATCTTCACAGCCACCACCTCACCTACTGGAAGAGAGCAACCCTCAAGCCATGCAGGTGTGGCACTACGTAGCCATGCTTAGGATTGGCACTACGTAGGATTGCCATATGTCCAGGAATTCCCGGAAATATCCTCTTTTGGCGGTCCTAAATGCCCATCCGGGGGAATTTTACATTTTAAAGCAATTGTTCGGGATTTTGGGTTTTTTAATATATATACATTTTTTGTGTGCAAGCAGTTCTGTATGTTTACCTCTTGAAATATGGCAACCAAAAAAAGCTCAATAATTTTTGTGTCTGCAAACCCTACACTAGGGCAATGCAGAATTCACCTATTCCAACATGTTGAAATGCAGCCTGGTCATCTTTAGAGTAATTTAAAGCAGATCAGTAGAAGTTTCCTTCACAGTAGGAAGCCATACTCCACATAGGACCTGCGGCTTTGGGTTGTTGCCAGTTGTGCAAAAGACTTATTTGTTATCTTCTGTTGCTTTTTCATATTTATAAATATATATATATGCACACACACATACACTGTCTGTTTTCAAAGAGCTTCTCCCAAGACACAACGCAGCATTATTTATACATGAATCACCACAAAGACGTTAACCCAGCCATTCCCTGTTCTCTTTGAAGGATAAGGTTGAAAAGGAGGGAAAAGGTGAATCCTCAACCAGGGAAGAGCATCTAGAAAAAGTACCGTATTTTTCGCTCTATAAGACGCACCAGACCACAAGACGCACCTAGTTTTTGGAGGAGGAAAACAAGAAAAAAAATATTCTGAATCCCAGAAGCCAGAACAGCAAGAGGGATTGCTGCTTTCACTGCGCAGCGATCCCTCTTGCTGTTCTGGCTTCTGCGAAAGCAACGCAAAGCCTCTTCAGGGCATGGGGAATGTTCCTCCAGCTGCTCTGAGGAGGCTTCGCGTGGCTATCCCAGAAGCCAGAACAGCAAGAGGGATCGCTGCGCAGCGAAAGCAACGATCCCTCTTGCTATTCTGGCTTCTGGGATAACTGTGCAGCCTGCATTCGCTCCATAAGACGCACACATATTTCCCCTTACTTTTTAGGAGGGAAAAAGTGCATCTTATAGAGCAAAAAATGCATTATTTTCTAGTGCAGTACAGTGGTACCTCGGGTTAAGTACTTAATTCGTTCCGGCGGTCCATTCTTAACCTGAAACTGTTCTTAACCTGAAGCACCACTTTAGCTAATGGGGCCTCCTGCTGCTGCCGCGCCGCCGGAGCACGATTTCTGTTCTCATCCTGAAGCAAAGTTCTTAACCCGAGGTACTATTTCTGGGTTAGCAGAGTCTTTAACCTGAAGCGTATGTAACCTGAAGTGTCTGTAACCTGAGGTACCACTGTACATTGTTTATTGCCTTCATTTTATGTATTCATGGTCTTGTTAGATAGCAAAATTCATGGTAAATTACTGTTTTAGGGGTTGTTTTTAAAAGTCAGGAATGGATCAATCCATTCTGCATTACTTTCTATGGAAAAGCTTGCCTTTGTTTTGAAACACTTTGGTTTTTGAACAGACTTCCGGAACGGATTAAGTTTGAGAACCAAGGTACCACTGTAATTGGGAAGCTTGAGTTATTCATAAACAAAAGCAGAAGCTTTCAGTGGCCTCCCCTCACTCTCAGGAGGAAGAAGAGGCAAAAGGCACATGCAAGTCCAAGCTTTGTGCTCATAACTTAAACTGAGGATCCAATCCATGCCAGTGCATACCAGGTCAATAACTGGCCAATACGTAATGCTAACTGCAGTGCCGGATGTAGGGCAGCATGAGCAGTATCCCTGCACAGGGCACTGAGCCGAGGCAGTGCAAAATCATCATCATCATCATCAAACAAACCTATATTTATAGGTTTTATTTATTTATTTATTTTGACTGTGTTGCCATCTCTCAATACAGTATTGAGTGGAGATGGTATTGTCGCACACAGATTTAGACATGGAGACTCCTCTGCAACGAATAAATTGGAACAGCCCAATGTCTGTTCTGTCTCATGAGCTCCATTATCCATTGTATATCAAAGGGATAGGCTTACCTCGCTCCCCACCCCCAATATTTTATTCAAGTTGGCATCCCAGCCCCCTAATATGAGATCAAAATGTCGCCTCCCCTCTCCTTCCTGCCCTCACATATTAGACTTGTCCTGTTTGTCGCAGCCCAGCGTTACCAAGGTGAGAGAACTTTTGTTTGTCCTGTGGAAAACTCTATGGCATCAAGCTGGAATAATAGAGGATAAGTTACTTAGCAAGCAAGGAAGCATTAGCACAATCTGATTTAACTAAGGTTAGATCACCCCACATGCTTGACATGAGTGCTCCTCACCAAAATTGTAATGTTTTAGACCAGTGTTTCCCAAACTTGGGTCTCCAGCTGTTTTTGGACTACAACTCCCATCAATCCCTGGCCACTGGTCCTGCTAGCTAGGGATAATGGGTGTTGTAGAGGCTTGCTGGTTTAGAGGCTTGTTGTGGGCAATACATAGCCCCATGCCTACTATCCTCCACAAATTTTTGGCGTCTGATTATCACGCTTGGGGTGGATGTGATTGCAGAATGAAGCGCTGGAAGTGATCTGGACAAACATTTGTTCCAGGAAAGATGCCACCAAGGGGTTTTGCAACCTCCCATCTACACTGAAGTAAAAAGCCCCGTGTTGTAACCTTTTCTCATAGGGAAGTCACTCCAATTCCTTACTCATTTTGGTTGTCCGTTTCTGATTCCCTCCCCGCCCCCCCAGGTCTGCAGTATGCTTTATACTGAGAGTCCTGCATTGCAGGGGGTTGGACTAGATGACTCTTGGGGTCCCTTCCAACTCTACAATTCTATGAGGTGAGGCAACCAGTACTGTATGCAGTATTCCAAGTGGTTGTTGCAACAGAAATTTGTATAACAATAATATGATATTGGCATTTTAGTTTTCATCCCCTTTCCTAATGATCCACAACATGGAATTCTCCTGTTTCACAGTTGCATCTAAGTATTCCAGAATGTCTTTATTTTTTTAAAAAACCCAAAAATCCCTTCCTGTAAACCGTAAGATTCTATTGTTCAGAGAAAAATAACAGGCCACCCCAATCTCCGAGTCCAGGGATCATGGCATGCTTTACACAAGGTCTGTGCTCCCTTTTGGACTATTAAGATGAGCTGACAGACATTTGATTCAGCCGTGTAAAAATGTGGGCCAACCTGGTTTTTCTGGACCTGGGCATCCTGGGGAGATAAGCCCTTAAGCCCAGTCATCAACTCATCAGGGAAGTCATCAATTGACAGAGAGGAGTGGGGTTTCTCCACCTTATGCGTGTTAGTGGGCAGGAAAAGAAAAGATTGAGGGTTTCAGCTTGGATGATGTAGGCTGAAGGAAAACTGTTTTCTTCAAGCTGTTTTCAAAGAGACACAGAGAAGACTGTTTGGCTGCCATTGAATCCAGTGCTGCGCTTCTGTAGCAAGCAAGCAAGCCCCTCCTGAGATGTGAATGCTGGGCATCCCTCCAATGTAGACTCAAGTTGCATATATATGTAATTAAATAATTCTCAAAAGTACTGATCAAACAGGGCACCCGCAACCCCATAACATCAACCTCCTCCCAAGGCACACATTTGACCCAGAGGTGCCGACAGAAAGGAAAAGTACACAACTTTCCTGTAAAATGAAATAACAGAAAATGTAAGTAGAGGCATTTAGAACAAATCAAAGCAGATCATAATACGATACTTTTAGACCAAGCCGGCAATTTCCAGTTTCTCAGGAATTTCCAGTTTCTCAGGAATTCTCCAGGCTTCCTCCTCCCTCCTTTGTTCATAGTTCAGTCATGGCAGCACCTCTAAGGTAGCTTTCAAACACACCAACAGTTACCAGAGCAATTCTTCCTTTTCTAAAAAATCACATTAAAAAGTAAAAAAAATATAAACACGCAAAAAAGCATTGTGCTACAAAATCCATTGCTAAGACCAGCAGGAAAAGTAAAAGAGTCTCAGATAACAGACTCAAACCTCTGCCCTGCTTCCCCGGTGGGCAGCTGCTTGCATGGTCTTTTATCCTGGGGCCTCCACAGAGTTCCTTGTCTTGATATCATCACAAATTTCTCGGTCCAAGTAAATTAATCGTCTTGGACCTCATCTGTTTTGCTTTGGCCTCCCCTCTGGTTGTGGGTCAGAAGCTCTAAACTCACACCCCAGTCCCGAAACAATCTCTGCAGCCACATCAAGACACAATTCCAGGATCAAATCTGCTTTCTCACTAGCACACCCTCCAACATTTCTCTGTTGAAAATAGAGACGTGATGTCCTATTCCATAATAATCATTTTATTATTTATACCCTGCCCATCTGACTGGGTTGACCCAGCCACTCTGGGCAGCTTCCAGCATATATAAAAACATAACAAAACAAACATTTAAAAACTTCCCCATACTGGGCTGCCTTCAAATGTCTTCTAAAGGTTGTACTGTATAGTTACCTATCTCCTGGGCTCAGGGGTCGCAGAACTCCATATCCTCCAGTATTTCTTCGATGAAGATAGGGACGTCCTAAGGAAAAGCGTGACATTCCGAGATCAAATCAGAAACTGGGACAACTTCTGTAAATCTGGGACTCACCCTGGAAAATTAGGACACTTGGAGGGGCTGCTGGGGGTCCTCTCCATCTTTCTACATCCTGGCCCAGTCCATCCACAGCCCCAGACCCCCCTTCTCTCTCTCTCTCTCTGCTTAATCCCAACTTATCTGAAGCGCTTCATGGGACCCACCCAAGGCAGGTCTAATTCAAGGACATTTGAAGTTCATTTTTTATAAATACCATATTAGATTAATGTCTGGTTAACTACAACAACAATTTCCGCCTTTTTAAAATATACACAGTATCTTCTTGTTGTTGATCTCTTTTGCTTTCGACATGGGTATTATTTCTTGTTTCTTCTTTTTTGTGTGTCTTGTCTTACTCTGTGCACTTGTAATTAAAAACAAAAACGGTTTTCCTTCAGTCTATGTCACCCAAGCTGAAACCCTAAACCTTTTCTTTCCCTGCCAACTAACACACATACCGGTATATTAAGGAGGAGCCTCACCCCTCCCTGTTTCACACAGGCTTAGTCCTACTGATGACTTCCCTGATGAGTCGATCACTGGATTTAACAGCTTACCTCCCAGGAATTGTTGTAAACAAAATCTGCCCTTATTCCCTTATGGGGAACACAAGATCCTTTATAGAGTTCTTTGTAGGTTCTCCATCGGTAGGAGAAAATAACAGAGGCCAACCAGAGAAGCAAAGCAGCTAGTAAGCCTGATCTTTATTGAACTGTTGCAACAGGGTGCTCCCCTCACATGCAGGAAAAGAGGAGGACCCAGAATCAAGGTGTGCCCGCCCTTATATAGACATTTTAAATTCCCTGCCCTGGAACTCAAGACCACCCCTCCATACATCATACATACATCACAGAAGGGGTGTAACCCAAGACCACCCCCCACAAACATCATACCTATATCACAGAAAAGGTGGTCTACAACAGAAATTTGAATGTTGTTGTTTTTCCTGTCTGTCAGGTTATCTGATTATGCCTTATCTGATTGCCTTTCCTGGTAGTCTGGCCATTCCTTTGAGATGGTGATCACCCAATTCCTGAGACAATGGGAAGGTTCCCTCACCCCCCCCCCCTCCTTGCAGAGAAAACATTTGGTCAGTTTGGGAGTCAAAATGGTTTCAGGATGTCTTCTTGTGCTGCTCCAGACATGTGATTCACATATCTATGTACGTGCTTCATTGTTACATTTATGAACATTTATTATATATATAAGACCTTAATTTTTTTATTTCAGAATGCTCTGACAATACGTGAGGAATGAGGAAGAACAAGAAGCCAAAATGTTTAAGAAAGGAAATCTTACCGCATGATTAGCTCCAAACACTTTCCAAATCTACTCCAGTATGCTACTGGTGCAGGCATTCAGATATTATCATAAAAGTATCTCTAAGCTTCTTTTTCTAATAGCAAGGATTTACTTAACTCAAAATCCCTTCCCCTTGACATCCGCATCATGGGTAGGCAAACTAAGGCCCGGGGGTTGGATCCGGCCTAATCGCCTTCTAAATCCAGCCCATGGACGGTCCATGAATCAGTATGTTTTTACATGAGTATAATGTGTCCTTTTATTTAATATGCATCTCTGGATTATTTGTGGGGCATAGGAATTCATTCTTTTTCTTTTTAAAAAAAATATAGTCCAGCCCCCCACAAGGTCTGAGGGACAGTGGACCGGCCCCTTGCTGAAAAAGTTTGCTGACCCCTGATCCACATCCTCCTAGCTATGAGAGCCAAGATGCTGGTCCATCTCTCCCTCCACAGTAAAAGTGGGACTGGAGGAGTCCCAAATACCTGGCTTACATTTTGCTTGCACCAGGTTACCGATCCAATCAACAACACCAAAAACCTTGCATTTTCACTTGCCAACAGGAAAAGGATATTCAAAAAGGTGGCTCTGTTTGTTCTGTAGCAGCAAAATTACATTGGCCTATTTAGAAATTCTTGTAGCTGGTTGCTGTAATTTTTGTATTTATTATTTTCCTTCTTCTCCACCCCCCCACCCCAAATACCTTATGTGAAATCTTGCCTGGAGAACTTAAACACTTGCCACTTTGGTGGTATTTGGGTTTGTCCCAAATAAAAGTTTTGCTGAACTGAGGATTCTGACATTTTTACTGTGTATTTCCCTGTTTAGGGAAGTTTTTAATGTCTGATGTTTTATTGTGTTTTTAATATTCTGTTGAGAACCACCCAGAGTGGCTTGGGAAACCTAGTCAGATGGGTGGGGTATAAATAATAAATTATTATTATATTATGTTATTATTATTTTATAATTGCTTCTTTTAAAGTTTTGTTGGCATGGATGGCCCTTGCAAGGGCCTAAAACATGATGCTTCAATTAAGAGGATCAACAACAATCAGTGTTGGGTTGACTTTTAATCATTGTGGTTCTCTCCCCCCCCCCCCATGTTTTCAGCTGTTCTTATTTTTATCTGTAAGCTTTTGTTGGCGTCTCTCGGTGCTGCACAGGCTGGGGCAACCTTTCCCAGGCCAATTTGGACAGTGTGGCATCTTTCAAGGATGGGGAGACCTTCCAGAAGGCAACTCCAGGCAGTGCAGCAGAACAGAGAGAGATTGTGCAGTTAAATGAGGACCTGAAGCTTGAGATACAGAGAGATTTGTGCTTGCCTATGAAACATGCTTTCTCAAGAACAACCAACCCCAGAGTTCCTTGTGCATAATAGACTGCATGGAGGAACCGTCGGTGAAAGGCTGGTGAAACTGATCCCAGGGGCACAGTAGAAGACAGGGCTGCCGCTTTACAGGCCCAAAATATAGAGATCTACTTCACACCCACGCTGCCATGGCATGCTGTAAATGCAGTTCACAGCTGTTTCTGATGAGCTTTCTCATCATTTCCCTCCCAAAAGGTTCATTTGGGTTCTTATTAACAAAAATCAGCAACGTGTGTTATGGTTTTTTGGGCAACACCAATAACTGGCAGAAGCCGAAAGAAGTTTCAGTAAGTGAAAATGTTGTTGGAGACTCACGATTTCATTATATCGGTGACCTGGAACATATTCCCACCCAGAGTCTATTCTGGGGTGGCCTCAGGGTATACGAGAAACCTGGCAAGTGGCTTTCTTATATATTACGAGCTAATAAAACACTTCTCAGATTGTATCATCGTAACCACAGCATTATTTTAGACACTACTTTTCTCCCACTTAGCGGCCCGCAAAGCAACTTACACTAAAGAAACACAAACAATACTAAAAAAACAAGATACAGATATATAAATAAATCAGTTTAATAAAATCATAATAATACAAAAGACATAGATTATATGAATTAAATAGGGAACAACAGGGTTTTTCTTACACAGGCATTTAAGTCTCCGACCAAAATTATAAGACAAGTGAAAAAGGCATTCAGTCAAAAAAATCAAGTCTGTTCTTGGGATCCCCAGTGTAGCTCCAAGGGCACTACAAGGCCCATTAAGACCCCCCAGCCCCTACCAATTTTTAATGATGAACTAGGCTCTTTTGGCTTAGGGGAGGGTTGGCTGATATGTGCTGCCTGCTTTCTAATGTTTTTTATTTGTTTTGCGGGGTGCAGGTGTTTTAGGGTTGGGGGGGTTCTGGGCAGTTCTTCCTCCCCCCAAAACTAGGTGCGTCTTATGGTCTGGTGCGTCTTATAGAGTGAAAAATACGGTGCTTTTTCTGAATGCTCTTCCCTGGTTGAGGATTTACCTTTTCCCTCCTTTTCAACCTTATCTCATCCTTCAAAGAGAACAGGGAATGGCTGGGTTAACGTCTTTATGGTGATTCATGTATAAATAATGCTGCGTTGTGTCTTGGGAGAAGCTCTTTGAAAACAGTGTATGTGTGTGTGCATATATATTTATATATATGAAAAAGCAACAGAAGATGACAAATAAGTCTTTTGCACAACTGGCAACAACCCAAAGAGGCAGGTCCTATGTGGAGTATGGCTTCCTACTGTGAAGGAAACTTCTACTGATCTGCTTTAAATTATTCTAAAGATGACCAGGCTGCACTTCAACATGTTGGAAAAGGTGAACTCTGCATTGCCCTAGTGTAGGGTTTGCAGACACAAAAATTGTTTTAGTTGCCATATTTCAAGAGGTAAACATACAGAACTGCTTGCACACAAAAAAAATTTATATATTTAAAAACCCAAAATCCTGAACAATTGCTTTAAAATGTAAAATTCCCCCTGGATGGGCATGTAGGACCCCCAAAAGAGGATATTGCCGGGAAATCCTGGATATATGGCAACCCTACGTAGTGCCACATCTGCATGGCCTGAGGGTTGCTCTCTTCCAGTAGGTGAGGTGGTGGCTGTGATGATCTCAAAACTCTGAGGTTGTCAATTTGGCACATTAGTAGCACAATGGTCAGTTCAGAGCAGACCAAACAAGCTGCTATGGGAAGCTGCAGAGATTCTATGGGGAGGAGAGCAGTGTGAATGGGAACGAACCACACGGCATGATGAGCATGTTATGTGGGACCAGCTCGCTTCTGAGGGCATAAATACTGATGTTGACAAGCACAGAATCTTCCTTCTTCTCTGAGCCATCCTTCCCTTTCCCCATTGCAATTTGTTGGCATGGATTTGTCCATTGTACAGGAACATGCCCGCATGTTGCCAGTCCTCTGTGCCAACTTCTCCACAAGAGGCTGTGTGTCTGTTCACCTCCCTCACTTTTAACTCTTGCAAGTCTGGTTCTGGTCCTGAAAGCCAGGCCAAATCTGCAGCAGCTCCTCTGGCCCGTAGTGATGCACCACCACCACCTTGGAGAACTTGCACTTCTCATACTTGACTTTGTACACGTTGAAGAGACCCCAGGGGCTTTCTGTCACGCTGATGCCCAGCTCATACAGGCAGATTCCCATGAAGGCATCTTCCATGTTAATGACCCTGATGGTCTTTGCTACCTGGTAGATCTTCTTGGCCAGATCCGCAGAGAACACATACCCTGGGCCTGCGCAGTAGGGCGGGTAGGTCTCATTTGGGTACACCGCCCGTGGCACATACCATTTGTAGGCCTTGTCACGCAGTGGCTTTGTTTTCCAGTAGATGTACCCTGTCATGTAGTTCTTCTTGGGTGGCAGGTGAGGCTGCAGCAGCTGGGACACCATGAAGTTCACATTGAGAAAGATGTCACTGTCTGCCTTCACCACATAGGTGGCATTGGGGCAGAACTTGCTTATCCACTCCATGCCCATCAGAGTCTTCAGGGTAAGGTTGTTGTAGGTATCCAGGAAGTCCTGCTGAATAATGTCTTTGTGGATGGAACTCTCCTCTTCCAAAAGGGCCTGGAGAGGATATCCAAATTTTGGGTGGACACCCGTCAGAAAGAGACGAAGAATGGAAACCCCAGGCACTGAGCTCTCGTTGCCCCACGTCTGCCGGATGGCCTGCCTCGTGGCAAAATCCTGGGGCTCAGTTATCACCAGCAGGATCAAGAAAGGGCTCCTCTCCCGGCATTTCTTTGGCTCGTTGAGAAGGAACTTATAATCAGTGGAATAGACAACCTCTAAGGGATGCCGCTTGGCCACTGGTTGTGGTGGTGAAATCAGACCAGAGGGCTTGGTCTCCTTTGTCCTCTGCACTGCAGATTCCCATTCAAATACCGTGGCACTCTTACGATTGTCTGCAGAATCTGGGCCGCCCTTGACCTTGATGTCGGGCAGTGAGGAAAGCGTCTCGAGAGACTCCCATTCGTTCTTCGCAACAAGTAGGAAAAGGAAAGCAGAGGAGAAAATGAAGAGGACCACGGTGGGCAAATTCCGCAGCTGGGTCATGAACATCTTCCTGGCACCTTCCATACTTTTGGTGGGCAGGAGGAGGGCACTTGCAGACTGTATGTGAGCAGGGGAGAGATCCTGGCCAGCTCTGTCCTGTTTCCAAAGACAACCTGAAAAAGAGAAGCCCAGTGAAAGGGAGGTGAATTCTGTTCTCTGTGTGTGTGTGTGTGTGTGTGTGTGCGCGCGCGCGCGTGCACACACACACAAGGGGAGCTTTGGGGATCAGGCTGGGCACACGGAGAATCAGTCTGCCAACTGCCGACACACTCAAGACCTGCTCATAACACCTGCCTTCTTGCCCTTGCAATCTGTTTCTGGAAGGAAAATATGCACTCTCAGGGATTGGCATTATTCACTCAACCCATCTATTTACAGATCCATTGGAATCCGAATAAAGTGTTATATGAGTTTATGGGTGCCAGACTCCTGAACTCCTGGATCCAGTAAGTGTTAAACTAGAAGCCAGACCAGCTTCCTGATGAGGTAATCACCTGGGTGATGAGCCATTAAAGGAAAAGAAAGGGAAGGGGCTCTGTCTGAGACAGCAAATGGGTGGGGCCCCTCCCCCAGCTAGAAAGACAAAGTTAACGTTTTGGGGACTGTGGTGTGAACTAGAGGAAAAGCTGCAGGATGGAAAGGCACAGAGGGAGAGCATGATGTTTGATTTCTGCTGGGATCCACGGCTGTGGCTACGGGAGAAACAATAACTTCTTGGGGTGATTATGCTCCGGCCCTCTCCATCATAGGCTCACTTCCAAAAGGAAACACAAGTTCTGGGTAAAGTGCCCAGCTGGGTGTGTGCCAGGGTGTCTGGTAAGCTGAAAAGCTTGCACTGATGGAACAATTGCCATTGTGCTACATGGAATTCCTCCCTGTATTTCCAAATTAGGCCATAAAAAGGTTAGAATGCACCGAAAGAGCAGCAGCACAAACAAAAATTCAGTAGGTGCAGGAGGCAAATTGAGCAATACAGGTAGTCTCAACACGTTCAGAGCGCTAAGTTATTCTTCTGAAACAGGAATAGCTTACATGGTGTACATGTGATGCTAAAATGGCAGACTTTATAAACGTTTGGTGGAATTGTTTAATGATTGCTAAATTCTATCTCAGAATCTTATGACAGCTTTTGTGTCTCTCTCAGAGGATGGGTTGGATCCAACCTTAGTAATACTCAGAGTAGACTCATTTAAATTAATGGACGTAACTATCTTAGGCCCATTCATTTCAGTGGATATACTCTATGTTGAACTTTGTTGAACACAACCATAATGTTGTTGAAATTTATAGGGAGAAGGAGCTCTGTTTTGGGTATGTTGTTGTTGGTTAAGCTATAAACCGCAGTTGTACAAGAGAGTATGGCCTATTGCCCTTATGGAAAATTTGACTCACAAATGAAGGCTGGGAAGAACAAAGAACAAAGATATCTTTGTGGGAGACTGGTGGTGCTTCATTTCATTTAAGAGTTTTCCAGAAAACCAAAGATCAATTCCAAAGGTTTATACTAACTTAATAATATCACTTAATAATAATAATGTGTTTTACAGATGTGTATAAGTTGGATGTATGGGTTGTTAGGGCAGGGGTAGTACCACGTCATGCTCCTTCTGGAATAGTTTGTCCACCATTGGTCCCCACCCTGCATTCAGGGTGGGTTCCTAGAAGCTATCAGCCTGCGACAGCAGCCACACCCCAGGAAAATACTTTGATTGCTGGCTAAACCAGGTGAGGGTTGTTGATGGGTCTCAAACCCTCGGTGACTTAAGTACTTTCCTTGCATGTGAAGACAGGCAGCCCATCTAGGAGAAGGAAAACTCTGATCCTAAACCTCCACTGCGTTGTGGGATATCTTCAGGAGAAGAAAAGGCTAAAGAGTAAACCCTATACAAATCCTAAGTGGAGTCCCTAAGGTGGTTGGATGCTGCCTTGTATGTCTCCTTCCGGCAACCGTGGTGTATGTATGGGAATACAGATTTCCATAATGTATTTTGGGGAGTCTCTGGGGAAATTTTAAAAAAGCAGAGGGGAACTATTAACTACAAAGCCCTGATAACAAAAGAATATGCCCTTTTAACCATTCAGTGGCTAATTAAGAGTATTTGCAAGCATAAGTAAATTAATTTACATGACAAAATTTACTGAAGGGTTCAACGAGTACAAATCTCAAATTTAACCTGGGCCAAAGTGACTCTGGAATGTGAAAAGGAGAGTGCCGGTGTGCGCGCACCAATATTAATATTTGTTCTCTTTGTTCTCTTATCACGTCCAGTAGCTTTATCTCAGTAGTATAAGATAAATATAAAAGGTCTGTTGCACTGCTGCCGTAATCACCTTTTCGCTAAACAGTAAGTGCAATGTTCATAGTGCAACGACTGACTCAGCAACCACAGGATCCTGGAGTTCTGAGCCAGGATCCTGGAACACCAGAGAAGCTGAAGCAGCTGCAGAATTTTTGACCTCTCCTGCCCTGCAGTTACAGGAAACCAAGATTCCAGCAGAAGGTCAGGTGGGGACAGATCCTTTTCTTCTTTTTCCCGTCACTTACTCATGCTTCATTAATAAGCACTTTGCCTGCCGATGGCAAGCGGCAATCACAATAGCAGCTGTCTGGTATTTCCTCAAGGAAAATGAATGACCCTGGAGGAAAGTGACCAGCCCAAAATAACATCGTCATAGGTATTTACCCAAGGAAGAGAAAGACACCTATAGGGTAAAGGTCTGGAATTTGGTGATAAAGAATTTAAGAATGAATAAAAACCACAAATCAGTCATGGTTATGCAGAAATTGTGTACAGTGGATCACTGCCAATGTCACTTACAGGAGCCACGTAATAGGTCTACGCATGGCAGGGCAAGAGGAAAGGAAGCCCAGAGGGGACTTTAAGCAAACTGGAACTGGTGCCTATCCGGTTCTGTCCCTCTGCACAAACATGGAATGCCCCCCTCCGAGCACAATTCAAAGTGTTGGTGCTGACCTTTGAAGCCCTAAACGGCCTCGGCCCAGTATACCTGAAGTAGCGTCACCACCCCCATCATTCAGCCCAGACACTGAGGTCCAGCGCCAAGGACCTTCTGGCAGTTCCCTCACTTCGATAAGTGAAGCTACAGGGAACCAGGGAGAGGGCTTTCTTGGTAGTGGAGCCTGCCCTGTAGAACGCCCTCCCATCAGATGTCAAGGAAATAAACAACTATCTGACTTATTTATAAGACATTTGAAGGCAGCCCTGTTTAGGGAAGTTTTTAATGTTTGATGTTTTATCGTGTTTTTAATATGTGTGGGGTATAAATAATATTATTATTGATGAAAGAGCCATCTGGAGATGGAGGGACATAACCCAAGATCTCTTCTTGTACAATTGTTCTCTTGACATACACCTTCTGATTGGGAATAGTACCATTCTTAATTCCACTGGCACCGGCAGAGCCTGAAAATGTATTAGCGCAGTGGTTCTACCATCGTTGTGCTGGTGGAGCCCCTATGTTGGTGGCTCAAAGGGGTGGAGGTGGAGACATGGTGGGGTTGGAGCAGAGCATGGCCACGGAGTTATGCTTGCTCAGAATGTGCTCCCTCCCCCTACCTTGTTGGGGTAAAGCTACAAAAGGTCTGGTACCCGTTGGAACATTCCCTTTGAAATCAATGGTCTGCTCTCCTCTCCATCTCCATTGGAGGACAGGAGTCTAACTAACATGAGCACCAATCACGGCACAGAGCCAGGGATGTAGAAGACCAGCCAGGGGACACAGGAATTGATGGCCTTGGGAGAGGGGAGGCTATGCCACTTTGCCTCAGAACCCACAGGAACTCAAGTGGACAGGCACCTTGAAGAAGAGCCAAGGCAACAATAAAATAGGCGAGGGGGTGGGGTGGGGATAACACTTGGCTTCTTCTTCTTTTTGGCTTCTCCAAACCACTGCAGCTCTGTTTAAGTATGTTGCAGGCATAGATGCCTGCTAAGAACCTTGACTCCACTGCTGCAAATGAGGATTCCCACACATTTGTGACTCCTAGAACTTCACCCAGGGAAACACCATTGGAACCAAGCAACTGCTCTTCCCAGATTGGTCAAGCCAGGAGAGTAGCCATCCCTAGTAAACCCAATATGAACCAAAGGGGATCCTCCATTAGAGGGCCTTTAACCTTCATATGTCCTAGTTGGTAAGGGAAGGATCCTGTCTCACTCTGGAATTATATTCGTCCTGGAGGAAGGGTATGCATCTATCCTGCTATTTAAGAGCATCAGCTATAGATGGAAGCAAAGAGTCCCTGGCCTAGATTTGGGGGAGGATATTTAAACTGTTGCATGTAAAACCTGTTCCCAAAACCAAACAGGTACAGGCATTTTCATGCGGCCCAGTTAAAGTAATAGAATCATGGAGCTGGAAGGAACCACAAAGGCCATCTAGTCCAAATCCCTGCGATGCAGGAATCTTTTTGCCCAACGTGGGGCTCCAACCCACAACCTTGAGATTGGTTCAGCATCCCCACCCACTGGCTGCAGAAAACTGCCTGTATTCTCTCACTTGACACCTGCTTGGTTTTCCTGATCAACATCATTTCCCCAAGCACCCCTTTCCTTGACCTGCTTTTCCTCTGGTTGGGACCCAGAAGCCACCATAAAAATGCAGCTGGGTGATGGTAGCTTTTTTGGGGAAAGGGCAGGTTGGCATGGTTCATCACTCTCTTCTTGCCCAAAGCTTTCCCCCTTTCATTTGTCCCTTTTGCGCTATACGTGTTTGGCGTGGCCTGCGATCTGACCCGTGACATTGATCATCTAGCCTAGCACCCACCCACCTAGGCAGAGGAGAGAGAAGAGAAGATGTGGAGAAGGGGTCTTGGTCCAAGATGCATTCAGTAAACCCTCCTGGCCCTTCATATTCAGGCCATGTGAGGGCAAACTGGCTACCATATGCTTCACTTTAGGCTGCCCAGAATAATCAGCCAGGAGGTTTATATGGGCAACAGGAGCCCTAGATTCTCTGGTATCTGACTTCTGGTTCAATTCGCATTGCTGGACTGGCCAACGAGAGGGCCGGGAGGTACCTCAGAGTTACCATCTTGCCCCATTCTTCTTTCCCATTAAGCTGGCTCTCAGGAACTGTAGGCTTTTATTATTTCAAAGGGAAAGCAGTCATGATCCTTTCCACCTCTACAGTTCTCTGAGACTATTATTCTACTGCAGCCTCTGAGGCCTTTTTGCAAAGTGTACAGCCTAAGCAAATCAAGTCTGAAGAAAACATCCTCTGTTCCCTCTTAGGTCTATTGCCTAGTCAGATCTGGGGGTCTCAAATTTCCGCGGTGCCCTGTGTGATGCCAGTTTGGTGTCCCTTGCTTCTCGAGGCTCCATGCCCAGGGTGGCCAAACCCCTAAATCTGCCACTGGCCTAGTAACAGTTCAATCACACACACACCCTTTCCCTTTTCTTTTTGGTTAACATCCACCCTGAAGAAGAATTCTGATGAACTTGGAAGCTTGCTCATTACTTTCAATCCATCTTAATAAAGGAACTTTGCTGCTGTCGCTCTTTGGATTTTATCTCGTGGGCCGCCATGGACCAATAGGTGTGCCTGTTTTGCTCTCAGATTCACATTCCCCTTCTCTAGTTCTGTTCTTCATGTTATTTGTTTAAAAGGATCTCCTTTTGCTTTAGAAACTTGTTCACCCTATTGTTAAATATAGTTTTTGATAAACGATTTCCTTATCGGTCTTAATTACTTGAGAGCATTTTGCTGAGCTTTTTTGCTGCCCTTCCACACTTCAATCCTGGCTCCAGTACAACTTGAGCTAACTGGCTTGCCTTTACTGCAGAAGAAGCAACAGCTGGACAACAAATCTAAGCCGACAACCACCTGCCCCATCAGGCCTCATCGTATTTCCCTTCCGTTGCTGCAGCTTTCTGCTGAATGTGGAGAAATGGTGGAGGCACACCTATTGTGCTTGTTTCAGGTGGTCCCACCTTGCACTGAAGCAGAATGGTGAAAAATCTGATTTTAGCCAAGTAACAGAGTAGGAGCAGGGAGCCCTGCAATGAAATCTCTGCGCGTACTTCAGAAAGTGAAAATCCGGACACAAAAGTTGTTGAGCCACTTCTGATAGAGGTTGCCATATGTCCAGATTTCCCCTGACATTTCAGGGATTTCCGCCAGGACGCTGTCCCCAACAGCTGAATCCCCGATACGTGCAGAAACCCTCCTAGCACAAGCCTCACTCCCTCTGAGTTAGGGAACAATGTGGAATCACTCGCTCCCCCCCCCTTTCCTTCCCTGTTTTGTGTCCCTGCAAGGGCAAACTTTATTATTATTATTATTTTATTATTAAATACAGCTCCTTTGTGGAACATCTCTTCTGCACAAGCGAGCTGTTTTTAAAATTATTTTTAAAATTCCAGGAACCTGCATCCTTTTCTATTGGCCAACAGAAGCAAAATGGAAAGGGTGTGTGTGTGTGTGTGTGTGTGTGTGTGTGTAGGGATCGATGGGACCACAGAAATGGCACCAAAACCCACCCCCACAATGCGATTTTTGTATTGGATTTACTTCCCATTTTTGGATTTTCCCTGTTGAAAATCCATTGGCTGCCAGTTGGATGGGGGAAATGTCATGTTCACAGCACCCAAAATATCAACCATAAATTGAAAAAAACAGTTTAATGGGATGAGGAAAGGATTAGCAGAAAGAAACTGGATACTAGGAGTTCAAAGCTAGGATGGTCATTTGAAAAGGGTTACAGGAAGAAAGGTTCAGTGACAAATAAAATAGACTCGTAAACTATTCAACAAAGGAAAGGGTGGGGGGGGGTTAACAATGAAGATACAGGAGTAAGTGTTTTGAAAAGAGGCTCTATTGTTCTTCCAAAGTGGACTTTAGCTGCAGTGGTGTAGCAGCGTTTGCTGGTGCCCGGGGCCACGGAGGATGAACGGAGCCTATTGTGCCAGCCCAGCCCTCACCAGCAGCACCAAGTGGGACTGTGCTGCACTGCCTGCCTGCCTGCCTGCCTGTGCAGGGGGAAGCCCAGCTGGTCGATGCAGCCCTTGGTGGGCAAATTCCCCTGATGCCCGTGGAGAGGAGGCCACTCTGGGGTCACCCATTGCCCACCTCCATGCCAGCTCACTGTCCAAGCAAGGAGTGGGTGAGCACTGGCCAATCAGCCATTCAGCGAGGGGGCCAGGGATGTGACAGTGAGACCATCCTGGAATTAGGAGCCCAGAGACCCCCAGCAGCAGGCAGGGTGAGACAGGGATCCCTGAATGGAGATGCCTGGTTTGCGCCCCCTCAAAATTGTGCTGCCAGGGCCATGCCCCCCCACCTCCACCCCCCACTACACCTCTGTTTAGCTGACCAGGCTCTTAAAATGTATCAGCATCGCTAGTTGCTATTGATATTTCTTTGCCCGAATCCTACACACCACCTGACCCTTCTTACTGCTTCCATCGTGTGGCATCCCCGCACCATAAGACCCTTTCCTTCTGGGTCCTGCAGTTTGCACTGTTGTGTTTTGCACATGAGAGGGAGAAGGAAGACACAACAGTCAGCACTTCAGGGAGTGGAAAAGGCTAGCTTGGTCCCCAGCTTCCATCTATTTGCAGCTTTCCCCTGTGCATACTTTTACACTGTGAGCTCCTTGGGGCAGGTATCTTTGCATTTGCTTCTTATGCACCATGAATTAATTAACAGCCCCCCCCCCCCAAGTTACTAGGCCACATGATAAACACATAAATTGCTAGGCTGGCTTTTTACTTGGAGGGGAGCGGGACAAATGAAGCATGTCATCCCATCTGTACCAAACCCGAGTAAAAATGTGGTTAGCAACCAGAACAGGGTTGCCATACGTCCGAAATTTCCCGGACACACTCGGAATACTGCAGTTGGAAGCAGTGTCCAGACAGAAATTTAAAATTCGGACGTACGACAACCCATGTTGGCAGTGTCGTTTTTGGCGATTTTGCTTTAAAAAAGCTCCAAAACGTGAATTTTTTTTGCAATTTTGCCCAAAAAAACCCCTAAACAAACAACTTCCCCCTCCAAAAACTCAACAACTTTGCCCTCCCCAAAAATATTCAACAACTGCCCCCCACCCAAAAAAAAAACCACTCCAGCAACTTTTGTGTCCTGATTTTCACTTTTTAAAAGATGGCAACCTTAGACTAGGTCTCCTCCACAGTCAGTATAAAAACACAAGGGGCTGCCATTTGAGAGACAGAGCGCTCAGCCCCCAGCAGTCATTTGTGTTTTTCATTTTCATAACTTTATTTATTTTCTGTATGGTAAGGGTGTAAAGAGTGTCTTTTTCCATTTTCCTTTGTTTGTTCTCTCTATTTCTGTAATAATTGAATATTTTTTTTTAGAAAAAAAGAAAAAAAACCACAAGGGGGCTGCCACATGAGAGACAGAGTGTTCAGCCCCCAGCAGCCCCCCAGCTCACTCACCTGCATACATCTCCTTGTCACCATTGGTGACCAAGCAGATGGTTAAATAAATACATAAATGCTCTATGAAACACCTTTGCCATCATCAATTTCAAAGGAAATCTCATTCAGTGCTCCTGGTATTTGTTCTCTCCCTCCTTGAGGGACCTCTTAGTGCTGCCTTTCTACCCCTCTCCCATTCTCTTCTCTGAGGTGCCTTTTGCGGCATCTCAGGTGAGCACTTACCTGCCTGAGGTGCTGTTCACTCAAGGTTGCCGCCTGCCTTTGACAGAATACTCTGGCTGCATGTCAGCTGCAATTTACCTTTCCCCGGGGAGGGTGTGGCAAAAGAGGAAGGGACAACGCCTACGTCATCCAGCTAAAACAGAGGGGAGGGAGCAGGGACTCTGCTTCCAGGAGAGTCTTTTTTCCAGGACCATTGAAGCACCTGGAAAGACTCACCACCTGCATGCCAATTCCATGCTGAATCTCACACACACACCAAAAAAGAAGAACATGCCCCTCAGAACCCAAAGCCAAACACAAGAACAAGATGAAAGGGATACATTTATTTTATATAAATGTATTTTATATAAAGGGATGCGGGTGGCGCTGTGGTTTAAACCACAGAGCCTAGGGCTTGCCGATCAGAAGGTCAGCGGTTCGAATCCCCGTGACGGAGTGAGCTCCCGTTGTTCTGTCCCAGCTCCTGCCAACCTAGCAGTTTGAAAGCACGTCAAAATGCAAGTAGATAAAAAGGTACCACTCCAGCGGGAAGGTAAATGGCATTTCCGTGCGCTGCTCTGGTTTCGCCAGAAGCGGCTTAGTCATGCTAGCCACATGACCCAGAAGCTATCTGCGGATAAACACTGGCTCCCTTGGCTTATAGAGCGAGATGAGCACACAACCCCAGAGTTGTCCGTGACTGGACCTAACGGTCTCCTTGGCTCAGGGGTCGCATAACTCCATAACCCTCCAACATTTCTCTGATGAAAATAGGGATGTCTTAAGGAAAAGCGGGACATTCGAAGATCAAATCAGAAACCAGGATGGCTTCTGTAAATCTGGGACTGTCCCTGGAAAATATGGACATAGCTGAGGGTCTGCATAATGCTGTATCCCAAAGCAATCACAATATGAAATATACATTCCAAACAAGTTGTGCTTGAAAAGACCAGGATAGGTAACAGAACTGGAAGTGCCCATTACTCAGCAGCAAAACAAATATGACGTTATACAAGCAATGAAAATTTCCCATGAAAATGAAAAAGGGGCTTTTCTGCCTGAAGCAAAGGGCAAGAAGATGCCTTCTTTCACTTCATGTATAAAAGCTCAGCAGACCACTGAATCTGATTTACACATCCTCCATTGCACCTTGAGGTCAGTGGCCTAGTTTAGTGGGTGCAGGACAGGCTGCCCAGCCTACAAACACAGATAACTTTCTCCTCTGACAGTCCCTCCATATTTCCCACCTGAGGCAGGTGCCTCACTCTTTCCACATGGCAGGGCCGGCCTTACTCTTGAGTCAGATGTGCAAAATACAACAAAGGGATAAATAAGCCCACCCATTTATTCCCTCCCCCCAGTAGATTTTATTAAAGCTTAAAAGAATATATACAAATGTTAATATCAACTACAAAATCACTTTTTACAATGCAAAAAAGCATGAAAAACCCTAATCTAAATAAAAACAAAAAGAAAGGAAAAGAAAGAAAGAAAGAAAAAAGAGAGAGAGAAAAGGGGAGTCTCAGACTTCCGGGGTGGCGCCATCGGCAATGGCGGACTCCCTCTGATCTGGAGGGATTAGCTCCACGCGAAACGGGTCTTTTCCGCTACGGCGAAGCGGGGACCCTTTCAAAAATCACAGGCGGATGAAGCCTGTGACCATGGGACTCGGCGGGCACCCTTAGCGCCCCCCCAACCCGCAAAGGAACCCACTAATGGGCTCCGAAGCAAAGAGGGGGAAGTGGCGCGGTGCTGAGAGTCAACTGCTTCTTCCGTGGAGCGAAGCCGCATAGCCGTTGCCGGAGAGCGCTGCCTTTTTCCTGGGACAATTTGGCTTCCAAAATAATCACCCATGAGTACTTAAATTTTGGACAACTGGACTTTAAATAAGGACTTGCGAGCGGAAAGGAATTGGACTTAAAAATTTACTTCAATTTGGCACTGAAACGGGAAGGTCTAAACAGGAAGTCAGCCTTCTGTTTCTTTGTAGACAGATTAAAGCAAAGACAAGGTAAACTAGAGCTCAGAAAATCGCTTCTAAAAGATTAACTTTCATCATTTAAAATTGTTGAACCCCCTTCGGAAGCAGGAGAAGAAAGGGGATCTTTTTCGGACTGTTTAAACCTGCAGAAGTGAGTTTAAAGTAAAGTAACTTTCCACCGTCTTGATGCTGGAGCGGGGTGTCAGGACTGACATGTTTTTTTTGAAGCTCATTGACCAGAGACAAACGTTTTTGACAGATAGCTAAAAGAAGAGAAACATAGTGATTCCACTGTTTCCCTTCGCATTTTAAAGGAACAAATATTGACAAAATATCTGAAAAAGGAAACTTTGTTGCTAGATTTGTCCTTAAAAGAAAGAACAAATAGACTGTGAAACTGTAACCAATTCCAGGGAGCTTGCAGCTGTTACAGATTACAATCGTGGGAATAGACTTCTGACCTTGAAGGACAATGTATTCAGAAGCTCTGTTGTGTGCTCTCTGTAAAACAAATGCCCTACTGGAACAATTAAATGAGAAGACGGATTTGATGACTGATGCGATCAGAATTTTTAAACAGGCAGTGGGAAACTATATGGAGCCCACCCAGGAATTAAAGCAGGAGTGTGCCCTGACAGAACAGATGAGGGAAGAGGATGTTGCTGAATCTTGGGCACCAGAGATGGAGGGAGCTGTGGCCCTGCAGGAACATGAGCTTTTGGATTTGACAAATGAACTTGGAAAAAGCCAGATTTGGAAAGATAAAGTTTGGACTGGTTTGGAAAGGGGGTTGGATAGACCCCTATGCAGGGATGTTTGGACTTTTCAAGTCTGGCAATGGGCCGTGAGATGTTTGGGGCTGGGGGGCTCTTAATTTTGGAGGGATTCTGAAACATGTTTTTAAATACCACATGGAGTTTAGTCTGGACTATGGAAAAGGGGCTGATTTGTTGAAAAGGGTCAAAAACATTGCCAAGCTGGAGTTCCCACGAGTGAAAGGAGAATATGAAGAAGAGCCGCGGAAGGGACATGGAAGGGACTTAAGGGCCTCGGATATAAGGTTACCAGGTTAATGCGCTAGATCAATGGGATAAAAAGGACTGACAAAACCCAGGACCAGGAGGAAGGGACGCTGGATGAAGATTGGATTGTTTTTATTTCTTTTTTTTAATTACTAGGATTGTTTTATAAAATTGATGAATGCTAGAAAAATGTTGGAACGAAATTACTTGGCTTTAGCAAAAATGTTTAAAGAATTAGGTAAGAATATTATGGTTATGAGAAGTTGGTAAAAATAAGATTTAAGTTTTAAGTTTTAAGGTTCTTTATAAGATAAGATGAAAATAGATTAAGGTAATGTAACGACAGAATATTATGAAATATGGAAAGGATTTGCTGCGACAATTAACAACTAGGATACAAAAAAAGGGAGGAGGAGGAGGTCAAAGAAAGAAGGTAATGAAAGTTGTGGATTCGAGAATGATGGATTTGTTTTTGTGTGTTTGTGGTGTATTTTGGTTTTTTGAATTTGTATTGTTTGATGTGGTTTGTTTTTTCTTTGTTTTTTTCTTTTTCTTTTTCTGCTTTGTTCTCTTTTGTAATTCTAAAAAATTTTCAATAAATATCATTTTAAAAAAAAGAGAGAAAAGGGGATTCTGAGTCTTCATCTGTCAGCTATATATATAAAAAATATTCAAAACATGCACTCCAAGGTAACATCCAACTACAGTGGTACCTCAGGTTACATACGCTTCAGGTTACATACGCTTCAGGTTACAGACTCCGCTAACCCAGAAATAGTGCTTCAGGTTAAGAACTACCACTGTATTCCACTTATAAAACAATATTTTATTTGGTCCACAAACCCAGATATCACAAATTCAAGCCCACCCACTTCCTGCTAGAATAAGTTCTTTATAATGGGGAACTTTATTTCATAAGAAGTTCATTGTGAACCAAATCCCTCCCCCCTCATTTAGGGCTTATTCTGGCTTGAAATACATTGGGGCTCATCCATCACACATCCCAGGCCTATTTTGCACACCTTTCTCAATTATTTTTGAATCCGTACTTGTCTGCAAAACACTGCAGCATTCTTAGAGTCCTGTGGAGGGTATTCCTCTAAGTGCTCTGGCACCTCAGAGGTCACTTGGTAAAAATGGGTTGGATGAGGGTTCAGCTGGAACCAACCCTACCTTGAAGCACACTAAAAATCAATTAAGCACAACTTTCTGGAACAAAGAGCTGCCCAGCTTTTAAATATTGAGGATGAGAGTCTGTATCAAGTGGAGAAACTGGAGCATCACCTGAGTTTCTCAGATCCTCCAAGTATCCCTGTTTTCCAGGGACATCCCTGATTTAGAGAAGCCATCCCAGTTTCTGATTTCATCCTGGAATGTCCCACTTTTCCTTAGGATGTACCTAGTTGGAAGGTATGGAGTTATCTGACCCCCAAGCCATCTGAAGGCAATCCTGTATAGGGAAGGTTTTTTTAAAAATGTTTAATGTAATACTTTGGCCACCTCATGAGAAGAGAAGGCTCCCTAGAAAAGACCCTGATGTTGGGAAAGATTGAGGGCACAAGGAGAAGGGGACGACAGAGGACGAGATGGTTGGACAGTGTTCTCGAAGCTACCAGCATGAGTTTGACCAAACTGCAGGAGGCAGTGGAAGACAGGAGTGCCTGGCGTGCTCTGGTCCATGGGGTGACGAAGAGTCGGACATGACTAAACAACAACAACATTTTTTTGGCCCTGAACAAAAACTGGGGGGGAGGGAATTGCACAAAGTTGTTGAGCTTTTTTGGGGGGGGGGGGGAGATTGCCCAGAGCTGTTGAGCTTCTTTTGGGCGGGATTCTCCAACGCAAAAGGAAGCAATTACGAGTCCTGCCTCATAATGGGGTGAGAGTTCCATAGTTTGAAGTGAAGAAGTACTTTCTTTTATCTGTCCTAAATCTTCCAACATTCAGCTTCATTGAATGTCCACCAGTTCAAGTGTTATTAGAGAGGGAGAAAAGGCTTTCTGAATCTGCTTTCTCTATGCTATGCATAATTTTTATAAACTGCTGGAAGG